CTGTATACACTGGCAGCTCTCTTCCCATCAACTCGCTCTCATTCAAGCTCCTTGTTTCTTGTTCTAAATCTGGAGGGTATTTCCACCACACAGTCTGGCCAAGGGAAAGAACAGTTGCTTTTGGCCTTTGAGCTTTGTCAAGGGACATCTAATCATCACAGCTTTGCTAACCGCTCTTTTAGATTTGCCAGTCAGTAGAATGGATCCATAAAACCAAGCCCTTCTACATGCTAACGGTAGCCAGAAACAGACTGTTATTTTCATTTCACTTTTTTATTATCTAAAAGAAGAAGAAAAAAAGTAAACTGTGGACTGTCTGTGCTTGAATGCTCGCATGAGGTTTGAGCGGCGTGAGTACGTGCGAGCGCTAGAGCTGGCTGAGCATAAATAAGTGGAGGTGGGCATATCACAGACGGTGTGAAGAAGCTAGAAGGACCGCTGACACATCTGTCATCCCCGATCTCCCTCTGGAAGATCCTGATTGGCAGGAACACCACCTCTGCCTCACCTATTGCTGTGCTAGGGAGGAAAGGAGCGCCCGAGTGGAAAAAAAAAAAAAAAAAAAAGCCCCACAGTGGAGAGTTGGGAGGAAAATGGCAGCTCTAACCTTTGTTGCGAACTCCTGCCATCTGCACCCCCGCACGACATGGCTGGGTGGCAGTAAGGAAGCCAAACAGCCTTTGTGTCAGCCAAACCTAGAGCCTAGAGAGTAGGTCAGGGCTGTTCAACGTTGGTTGTGAGGTAAAGATGGAGAAGATAGAAAAACATGGTTTGTTTTCCCATTTTCTTTCTGCCAGGTATTTTTACATCTGCACTTTGGACGTGGCGATCAGAGGCTGGGCACACCCTCTTGTGCTCAGATGAGAATACGTTTGACAACTAACCTGTCAGGTCTATCAGCTCTCCAGGACATATCTCTGTCTCAACACACCGAATGTTCATGCTAATTACTTGAGTGAGTGCGCACGGAGCTTTGAGAAGAAGCAGGAAGTGACTGAAGCTGACACGTGGCTTTAAGTGTCCTCGATAAAATCATTGGGTTACTCATCCAGACCACAGCTGAGGGGCCGTCGTCTGCCAAGCAGGGCTATTAGATCCCGAGTCACATTTGGTGACTCATCTCTCAGCTTCAGATTCGCTTGAGATAAAATCTCAAGAACGACACAGAAACGAGTAAAAATGCAAGACGCGATCGCGGCGTAACCCGCAGAAAACGTCACCTATTTCAGTGGCATCTTGTGCAGCTCTTCTGAGCAGTCATGAGGCTTTTCCGCTTTTCCGCTCATAATATAATGACTCATGGCCAGAACCAGTCCGAGAGATAATAAGGATAATACATTTAAGTCCGGGGAACAGGAGGCCTTCACTGGGATCCAGTGACCTCATTACGTCTCATTAGTCTCCCTGTGGCACCTAGATGAAGACTTTAAAGGTGGTCCTGAGGTTAATCCCACTGGGGTAATGAACCCACTCCCTTGTGTCTTTTGCTCTGGCACTGCTGTACATGTTGCTTTCGCATTCAATGTGTGTATTAGCTCTCTCCCTCCTCCCCTCCCCGTGATCTAGATAGTCCTTGTTTGAGCCGTCAATCCCCGTCGGCCCAACTCGTTCTGATAACCTCTGACCCCTCCGTCTTCATCGTGACGTCCATGGTGCCTAATTTGTGTTCAACCTCCTCCATCCATCACAGGGCGACATTATCATCTCATCACAAAAGCCTTTTTTACGCCGCTCCCTGTTTACATCAGAGATGGGAAACCAAAAAGTGACGCTTTAATCAAAGGCTCGTTAAACGCTACCGTCGTTGGCAGGATCCTGTATTTCATACAGCTGTGTTAGTGATGTTTGCCAACAATAACCAAGACTAGCACAACAAGCTCAGTGCATAAGAGCGCTGACAGATGTTCTTCGTCTCCTGCTCACTTCCTTTTCTCTTTTTTACAATTCGCTTTGTGAACTAGGACTCTCTCAGGTGATGACAAGTCTGAGAAGTCCACAGCATGTTGAAAATATTAAGGAACACTTTGTGCTTTTCAGTTTGTGATGCTTTAACTTGCTCCCCGTGTTGCAGTTGGGCTGTACCAGCTTCCAGCATGGCAGACTGTGTTTAGTCTGGACAGAGATGCAGTTTCTCCCAGACAGGAATAAGGGGTGTGGGGGGAGGCAAGAAGTTTGAAAAGAACACTAAGCAAAAAAAAAAAAAAAAGAAAGAAAGAAAAAAGTCATAAATACAGCTCCTTGCAAAAGTATTTATACCCCTTGATTATTTTCAATTGTCACGTTACAACCACAAACTTACACAGGCTCAAGCTGAGTGCGATGGAGAACATCTGTCAGTTTTACCACAGATTCACAGTTGGACTCAGATCTGGACTTTGACTGGGCCATTCTAACAGAAGCTTTAATCTAAACCATTTATTCTAGATCTGTCTTCACATTTTTGAGTGATTGTACTACTGATTTTCTTCCACATTTGCCCTGTATTTTCCTCCATACAGCTTCCTAAACCAGCTTCACTGTGTCTGCTGGATAAAAGCATACCCACACCATGACGCTGCCCCCTACATATTTCCCATTAACGATGGTATATATATAGATACTCAGTGCTACTTTTGTATCGATCCTTGTCTGAGCAGACCACCTTTTATCGATGTTTGCAGCAGAAAACTGAAAATGTTACATCTTGTTTTTGACAATGTTTTCTTTCTGGCCATCCTTCTATGTAGCCCAGTTAATGGTCATCCTAACAGACACCTGAGCTGTGGATCTCTGCACCTCCTCCACAATTACTGCAGGCCACTTGGCTTCTTCTCTGATGGATTCTCTCCTTTTCGAATTTGAAAACCACGTCTTATTTTCCTACCACTACACAATTATGCTTTAAATTGAAGCATATACATTTCTATCAAAATAGTATGAATTCTGTGATGTAATCAAAAGGCCAGTATTGTGTAAAATCAACTTTTTTTAAACTTTGCACTATGCTATAATGTTCTCTCATCAGAAACGTACTTGGAGTGTTGCTTTGATTGTTTCATGCATGTTTGAGAAATCCTTTAATCTCCCATGGTAACCATTCAGTTGTCCAAAACGCCTAGTTGGACCTAGCTCTGCCTCCTCAGAGCTGCAGTTTCTAAACTTCTAAGCTTCCGCCTCACAGAGCACTCTCGTATGGCTCATCTCCTGCAGACTAGCCAGCAGCAATTAGCAAACGCCTGGTGGAACTGAGCATCAGCTGAGTTCATTATTCCAGCTACTTCTCAGTGCACCACTGGTAAAAACATTGTTAAAGGTTTAATAGAAGAATGATAACTTCCTGAAGGTGGAGTTTCAGAAAAAGCAGGAGTTTCTTAAAGAGACAGTGCCCCGATTTCAAGCCGTTAAATTACAAAGTCAAACTTCTTTTAAGTCATATTTGATATATACAGCATTTTTATAACTGAAGGTAACTCGACTGTGCCATAAAATGACACTCTGTGTCTGGAAAACACATAATATTTCCCCTTTAAATATATATAAATATATTTTTAAAAAAAAGTTCAAGAGGTCATAACACATTTTTAGTCTGTTTAGGTTCTAAAATAAGCATGGAGCACGGGAGATAAGAAAACACGCTTAATAATTACACGGGGTGTCTAAATGTGTACATGTGGGACGCAGAGTAGAAAGGCAAACTGCCGGAGACGTGAGTTACGGTCAGCGCAGTCACGTTTTCCACCGCACAGCTTTATTGTAGAGTGAGCCTAACTCTAACCATATCTTATTGGCATGTGTGCGATTGTGCAGAGCGTGTGCGTTCACGGTTTGTTTAGACTGGTCGGGAAAGCGTGAGACCAGAGTGAGTGGGCCGAGGCCATACTTGAGGGTTCAAAGTGAAGCGGGGAGGGACCCCCTCGTTTTGCAGGAATGCCGAGGAGGAGGCCTGATGGTTAGCTGGAGATGGTGTAATTAAGGGGTGTGATTGTGAGAAACCTTCCCTTCTCCGGGCTCTGCAGAAAGGGTCACAGATAAAAGAGCGAGCGCCTCAACTGTCTCGTCCGTCTCCGCGCGTGGAAAGAAAGTCTTTCGTGTTTCAGAGCGAGAGATGTTGACCTACCTGGGAAGCCCCCCCACCCACCCATTCGCCCGGAGGCCTCAGATGGAGGTTGGAGGTTGAGGGTATCGGGGGCATGCGTAGAGTCTCTGAGAAGCACCATAAATTAGACAGCTCTGTGAGGCTCCTTCTAATCATGTGGGGCTGTGCGTCGCCCTGTTGGTGCGGTCGTTGTAATTTAGCTCGGCTCGACGTGTCATTTGCAGGGACCTTGATGACACATTGCCGTGCCTTTTCTTCGGACGACGAGGGCGTGGCGTGAGACACAAAGTTTTTGCAGTTGCGTTTGCCGACAAAACCGGTCCCCCGCCACCGCCACCTCTCAGTTGCGAACTCTTTCGGTTACGAAGCCAAAACACCGAAGGCCCCCGAAACCAGCTTTTGTCGTTGCAACCCATCATTCAGAAATTTAATGAAAAGCTGACTTTCCAATAATTTTTGTGGGGGGTTGGGTTATGGAAAAATATGAAGATATGGAAAATATACAATAGCATTACAGACACTATTGTTCTTTTTGCAGCACCCCGTATTGAAAGTATGTGAGCTGGTGTGTTTTGCATGTGTAGTTTTGGATGAACCTTGCAGAAAGAGGTCAGCTTCCATCAGTTCCTCATCGTCTCTCTGCTTTTTTTTTTTTTCTTTGGTGTGTGTGTTTTCACACTTTTGATTTACTTGCTTTGAACAAAAGCCGGAACGCGAGGGTTTCAGTTCTCTACAATAACAATACAGCGATTCCCCCATGTGAAATAATTCACAAATCTTCTACCATTTTATGTTTTCTAACAAGGGAGAGTATAATCCATTCAACCCCCTTTTTCCCCAAACACTTTAGCTCCGAATCAATTCCACATGAAGCGGATTTCTGAGACCCAGATGACTTTTCTTCTTTCTCTGTTTCTCCCTCCAGGGTGCAGGATAGACAACTGCGAGTCCTGCTTCAGCAAAGACTTCTGCACCAAGTGCAAATCTGGTTTTTACCTGCACAAAGGGCGCTGCTTTGATAAGTGCCCCGAGGGCTTTGCCCCGCTGGAAGACACAATGGAGTGTGGAGGTATGGACAACCGAACAGAGTCAGGCACATCGAGAGAAAAAATGGGAACATTGAAGAATGTTTGCATTTTTTCATCACCTGTCTAAATCGGCAGGTTTAGACAGACAGATTTAGTTCTAAATTGCCAGACCAATAAGAAATTATTTTTCTATTACAGTAATATCATGTTATGCCCTCGTTATGGAGAGTGGATTCATATGAAAGATGACTGACTTGGCAGTTGTCCAGTCATTGTCATAGAAGCTGGCTGTTCACAGAGACCTGTAGCAACACATGAAAGTTGAGTGGAAGGAAAAATATAGTGGAAAAGGGTACGAAATGTCATGCTTCCAAGTGTTGAAAAAGTTGAGGGAGACATTTTAAAAGCAGATCTTGATATCAGTTCACTCACCTGACCTGAAAAAAGTAGCAAATCTTTGGAATTTTTCCCAGAGGAAGAAAAGAGACACTGGATCAAACAAGGCAGGTGAGCCTGGGCTTCCTTAACGCTGCTGCAAAGGTCTATTGATTTAGTAATTCAAGCAAAAGGAGCCCCAACCAATGACTCAGTGCAAATACTGTCAAATTGAATAAAAATAGAATTTACATCCCAATGAATCTCATTTGTCAGACTAGAAGTACTGTTTGAAAATAATAACCTATAACTGGTATTAAACATGCTTTCCATTAAGCTAACATTTATGTTTTTAATAATATATGTTTTTGGTATTGGTCTGATGTAATACTCTAATTTAAATGTCATGTTTTAAGTAGCTGTAGGTGGAAAATAATAAGAAATAAAGCATCCATCGTTGTGTTATTAATCTATATAATGTGCTTCCGTCTCAAATACATGAGCTTTTCATGTATCATGTAGAGTTAATATTCTAATTTACCGAAGGACTCTGTACTGGCATTTTAATTGACTAACATTTCAATATTAAAAACACTTTTCTTATTGGTCTTCTGTATTCTAATAATCTGAGAAAGCAAGTCGTGAATCAAAATCATCAAATTTGTCTCTGAAAACAAAATTCTTGACGTCTCAATTTGAATACGAGCTCACAGGACCCCAGTGAAGCTAAGCTAACCGGTGTGAAAATCTAAATGTAGGAGTCCTACAGTTGTCTCTGATGAACACTGCTCTATGATTTGATGGCACGCCACTTGTTTCTGTGTAACCCTTCACAGAGGGCTGCGAGGTGGGCCAGTGGAGCGAGTGGGGAGCCTGCACCAGGAGAAACAAAACCTGTGGCTATAAGTGGGGTCTGGAGACCCGGACGCGGCACATTGTTAAGAAACCCCCCAAGGACACAATACCGTGTCCCACCATTGCCGAGTCCAGGATGTGCAAAATGGCCATGAGACACTGCAGGAGAGGTAAGGAGCACCCGCGGGCGCCTGTCGATTGTGCGTTTTACAGAAAGTTGAGCCGATCTCCGTCTTCTCCTGCGTCGCGTCACCCTCACGCTCCGGCTTTTGTTTTCATGGTCTGAGCGATTGAGGTTCACTGCGGTGCTTCTCCTCTTTGCTTTTCCCAAAGTAGCTCTTGTTCCAGCCAGCTCTTTTTTTTTTTTTTTTTCCCGGGGCTTATTTCCCACCATCTCCCTTCCTCTCCTCTGCGGAATCCTTCAAAGTATAATCTGCAGGTTTCCTCAATGGCCGTCTCTGTTTCCTCCTGTCAGCTTGAGAGATTTCTGCGGTATGCAGAGCATGTATGTCAGGCCATTATGCGAGAAGAAGTCGATGGAATTTCTCTGTGTGCGCGTACGGCTAAAGGAAATGTATACATATTTAAAGGATAAACCATTTTTTTTCTTTCTCAGATGGTCCAGACACGCCATTTGGCAACGAGGGCCTCTGTTAGCGACGCTTTCAAGATAAATGTCTTTTTCCCCTTAATGTGCTTTAACATCGCTCATAAACTTGGGATTAGGATAGGCCCAAATGTAAATATTTAATGCCCCAAATAAGGAAGCGATTACAGTGGCAGATATCAGTCAATCAACAATTTAAAAGAAAAAGAGACACGCTAACTTCAAGGATTTTTCTCCATTTTTGGATTGGGCTTGCTGAACAGAACGGTCACTTAGCGAAGTGGTGAAAGAGTAAATAAACTTGAAATAAACCCTGATAGTTTCTCATATTTCAGCGCTGAGAGGGCTGCTGACTGGGTTGGAAACTGTGATCCCATGGCACATTTAGTACTTAATGTCCCGTCTTGTTTGTCAGAGAGTTTCCCTCCAAAATGCCGTGCACCTCACGATTCCGCCATGGCTACTTGACCTTTTTTTCGAGAAGACTTTATGACCATCCTAAATCAAAACTTGGCAATGCTCTGCACAGAAGCAACGTTTCTTTTTTAAGTTTTTTTTGTTTCCTTGTTGGTGTAGTCAGCGATTGTAAAACTTGCGCAGAGGCCAGCAGAATACTTAAACCCAGTTGTATGAAAAGCCCTCTTCTCATCCAGATAGCGTGTTCCAGCTCTAGTGGCCACTGGTCGAGTGTAAAAGTGTCACTGCGTATGCATCTCAGGACTCCTCCGGCATGTGAAATGCTGTGGTGGGCCTGTTTAATAAAGGCAACATTTCATTAACACACAAGGAGTGTGTTAATTCCGCACTCCTTGTGAAAAACCCCACTTGGCAAAAGCCAGTGAAACGCAACACTCTATAGTTCAAATGAAAAAAAAACAGGAAAAGCTGGAGCCCCAGAGGTTGAACGGGAGGAGAAGCTCCGCGCAGACGCAGGGGCTGTTGCATGGAAGTTCAAGGAACTACGTGGTGACATGATCGCTTTCAGTGGGTGATAATGACGAGTAACTCTGTAGGAGGGAGGTCACTGTCTCTAGTGAAAGAAAGCCTTCAAAGTCTGCATGAGAAAGCAGGAAAAGAACTAGGAAAAGATATTTGCATAGAGTTATTTTTGTTACGATAAGCAATAAATCAATTAATGGCATGATAAATTAAAATGAGTGCAATAACTTTCCTTTCGACAACACTTGTCCTCTTTAGGTAAGGTAGGGCAATTTTATTTTAGATAGCACATTTTCAGCAACAAGGCAATTCAAAGTGCTTTACATGAGTTAAAAGGAAATACAAATAAAATAACAAACCAAAGGGGAAAAAAAAGAGGAAAGAAAACTAATCTAATGTTGTTCTGAAGTATGTCAACTAAGTGCTCCTGTTCAGGGTTGCTAACTATCTAATTCCATTTCTAAATAGTGTTTAATAATATTGAAAAGTCTGCGTTTTGAGAAACGCCGCAAACGCCTGGTACGAAGCAGTTAGTTTGCACTGCCTGTCACTATTGTTGTTTTGGATGTTTTAAAATGTTTTCCATTTCCAGTGTTAAATGTTCTTTAGAAATCAAAGTTTATTTGATTTTTGAGTGGGGTATACATATGTGTGTGATCCATTGTTATTATTCTGATATTAGTCCAAACTGGCCTCGAAATGACAATATTATCATTTGTTGCGATAATATTTGGGACAGTGTATCGTCCTACAAATGTGTTATTTTGCCAAGTTCATACACCATGAAGCAGTTCCATAATTTGTCACATTTCCTCTTCAAACATTTTGAAGGTGATGCATCATTTTTGCCTTCACTTTATAGTTATGCAGTACTACAGCAGGTTTTGCGCATCACATGGAATCCCTTTCAGATACTGCGGATGATGTGGCTCTGGCATAACGAAAAGTGAAAAAGTTCATTAGGTTACAAATTGCGAGGCATTGTACAAAAGTTGCAAATAATCATTCGCACCACAGTAAGAGAAGAGCAGTCCACTCAAATTTATTTGTAAAGCACATTCCAGTAACAACACAGCTCACAATTCTTCACCTTATAAACTCATCTGTACACGTTGCAATGCCACAAAGTACCTTTTCTGTTTAGAAAGAAACCAAATTAAAACTTAGCACACGATTCCGAGAGTCAGAAGTGGATAAAATGTTTAAAATAGCTTAGAGTTAAAAACAAAAACACCTTAGTCATGTCTTTTTTTATGAGCTACCAGTGTTTGGGATAAGCACAGAGTTATATAGCTATTTTGTAAAGACGCTGGATTAATTGGAAACAGAAAATAAGAGAAAGTAATGGCTACACTGATCTGATCTGCCAGGGTTGTTTTTCTGTTTACAACCAAACTGAAATCACTCTGGACTTTGCTGTTGGGTCTCCCAGCATTATCAAAAGGACACATGCATTTTGAAGAGAATCCGCGGCAATAACAGCGATGGTCCTCCTGCCCGGTCTTGTTTGCATGACTTGGTCCCCATGTTAAAAAGGGGAACCGAAGGGGCGAAACCGAGAGCCTCAGATGATATCGGGATGAAAATCATTTTCACAGCAAACACCACGGTCACACAAACCGTGGCTGTTGTGTTCCCTGCTGAGTGTACACACCGCACATCACTCATGCTGCTGGGATTCATTTAACACTCTCTGCCTGTGTTTAGTCGAATATGATTAGCTCAATCAAACTCCTCACGTTCAGCAGAAATAAAAAACCAAAAATTGGTTCTGTGGGATATTTTTGAGCGAGTTCAGATAGTCCATGTTTTCTACCTGATCTGTGGAGCAATGAGTCGACTCCTCGTCTGCTTAGCATTTCCACTGCACCCCTGAGATATTAAAAACACTCATCCGCACTCTAGATCGCCACTGCGCGAGTTGAAAACAATAGAGAGACGTTATTAATAGCTGCTCTGGCCCTATCAGCGTCGATGGCTGATAACACTGGGAAATCCCCACAGTGATTTCCCAGCAACTCATCTGACTCACTGGTTTCGCAAAAACACATTCGATTTATCTCTGATTCTTCTTCCTCTCGTCTGCATCTACATTTTGGCTCCAATAACCTTTGACCAGGCAATATTGGATGTTGGGGAAACAACTTACAAGTGTTAAGGCAACTGCAGCTCCAATGATATCAGTAATCCCTGATTTGAGACTTAAGAGGGAAACGGTAAACGTAAATCAGACCATAGTCTGATTTATGACCGTTTTCTACAAATCGGCTTTTGGATACTTGGATGATCTTGAACGTAACTCAACTGATGTTTCCTGCTTGCTAAGTTTGTTGATCAAAGTCATTTTGTCTTTCTGATTTTTAAGGCTTTCCCTTAAAATATATATTTTTAGGATGAATCTTTATGCACATCCCATATGCATAATATCTGCCTATACTGAAACTAGATAGCACTATCCAACATTGTGGTCTTTTACAATGAATCAAAGAAAGACTCCACAAAACTGAATCTCCGTGACTCAAAGAGTATGATATCCTCAAACACAGGGCTTGACAAAAAAAGAAAGGAAAAAAAAAATTGACAGAGTTGCGGTTTGGGATTGGCTGTAAATTCACACAATCTAATGGTTGCCATCAAACACGATAAAAATGACATTTTTCATCACACAAGTCCCTTTTTTTTTTTTTTTTTTACCCCACAGAAGAACAGAAGTTTTATAGTACGCAGTTATGAAACCAGATTTATAGCATAGCAAATTTTGGACCTGATAACCCAAACACGCTAAAGACCCGACTTTCCAGAGCAGTGCCGTGCAATTTATACTCAAAATCTGCCTTTGAGTGCCGGGCTGAAGCCACAAAGGCTCACAAACACCGTGCTGACCTCATGGAAAGAAAGAGGCAACGAGGAAAAGAGGCGAAGGATAAGAGAGAAGAAACATCTAGTGATTATCTCGGTCATTGGATCTCCGTAAAGGCCTGCGAGTTGAGAGGCTAACGGGCCTTTTGTGGAAGTATCGATCTCCCGTGTGTGTAACCAGAGAAACTCTTGCTGCTGTAGGCCTTAGCCGAGGCCAAGCCATCCATCTCATCAGTCATCCGACTGTAAGGATTCAGTCAGCACTGATTCTCTAAGTCATAACTTCTCTGTACAGTTTGTTTTTGTACTCTAATTGCTCGTGCCTCTTGTTCCAATCCAACTACCATCAAGTTGATGCATGTTCTGCAGCAGTGCTGCAAAGGCATAAAAAATCCCACCTAGCCTAAGTGGACTACTTAGATACCCCTTTGTAGTGAGACATACGATTATTAGCAGGATTTAAAGCTGCAGTATGTAGCTTTCATAACAAATATGGTTTTCTACATATCTGAAACTGTCACAATCTGAGAAAAAATAATCAATCTCCTCCACCTTCTCCCAGTTGCCGTCTGAAGAAATGCACCGCTCCCAGTCAAAAACAACCAATCAGAGCCAAGAGGAGGGTCTTAGTGCTGCCAGTCAACCTCGTGTACGTGTTGCTCATTGTGCTGATGACGGAGAAGCAACTCACTGTGCCAGAAAAAAAAGTGTATCTGCTGGAGGGATGAGCAGCATGCTCACAAGCTGATTGGCAGCTTTAAGGCC